GTATATATATTATATATATGATATAACAAGCGTAAATATACCTATGGGTTTCCACAATTTTCTATTTTCTACTCCCTTTTATTTGATCTCTTTCATAGTTATCTTCGTCCTTTCTCTTCTCATACCCCTTTATCTCTATTTTTCAGCATTGCACCGACTCGATTCCTTCCGCAGCCTCTCTATAGAGCCCGCTTAGAGTCTGATGAATTGATCAAACTCAAGCTGACCGAACGGCAGGCAGAGTACTGCACTTGGAAAAGCCTCCGCGTTTTCATCGGTACTTGGAATGTGAACGGTTGCCAAAACAGTCGCATCCACCTTGACCATTGGTTACAGCCCCCCAAAAACCAACCACCGGCTGACATCTACGTTTTTGGGTCAGTGTACCATTCGCGTTGACCGCCAGTCTCTTTCCACCGCTTTACACCTGCCTCTTAACTGTTCAAGACTCGTCCTTCTCACCATAACTTCGATAGATTTTTGTAAAATCATAACCGCTAAAAGATCTATTAGCACTTACCACTTGCGAGCTAATCCTTATGGTTACCGATTGGCCGTTCTTAATTGGGCCCTTTATCAGGTCTTGCATGCCAGGTGAATCTGGATTCTGAACCACCTCAATTAGATTGTCTTATATCAGGTTTATGTAAAAGGTGAACTTTAACAAATAATTGAGCTACATCACTCATTTGTGGCATTAAATGTGATGGAGTACTACAGAGGTTTATTTTAAACTCTGTTATTTCAATACTCTTAACTTGCTACATTGTCGAGTTATATTTCAACGCCTAGTCTGACTCTGCATTGATTGCGCTGATCATAGTACTTTCTAAACATGTGGATTTTTTAGCTGGTGATTATCATTGGAAAGAGCTTGTTGATTTGGTGGCAAAAGGGGCAGCTCTGATCATATGTACCGAAATTACGATCTAATGACATGGCAAACCGAGAAAAAAAGTTCCAAATACTTCCTGAATATAGAACTGGGATAAATTCATATTTACATTTTTTTCTCAAAGTTATTGATATTATACATTAGTTCACCAAATATGATATTGGTTCAAGAATTCGACTCAGCCCTGGTTACTTAAAATGGTCTAAGGAGTGGTAGTGGATTTCTTGCAATGAAATGCATAGGATTGCTATTGGATTTCCTTTTATCCCATCTCCCGAAGAGTTTTCCTTTATAAGGCTAACAGCACTTTACACCTCATCTGAGTCTCATTAGCACGCCCAACAGGATTTGAAACCAGGTAGTGTGTGCCACAAAGTCGCACTGACAACATCGCCACTATATGCTCACAATTCATTTTCGAAGGTGCTTATTGACTCCAGTGATATCGAAACTACAGCCCACTCTTGGTGAGAATACTTTTTTGTAGGTAAGGTTAGGTGAAATCCAATGGAATTGTGAGGAATATTCACTAAATTGTGGAAAATTCAATTATCAGTCTTTAAATCACTTCAATGACTTAGCGCTAATAAAGCTTTTATTCAAGATTTGCTGATAGTTTTGAAGTATACTCATTCGTTAAATAAGACATTTTGTTCGAAAGACGGGTGAATACACAGTTAAGATTTAAGTTTTCGGAGTCTCTTTACAACCTGTTGAAGATGCACAAACGAAGTAAAATTGATTTTTTGTTTAAGAACTAGGTTTTTTGAGACTACCAGTATATAACTGATATAAGAGCAGTATTCAATATATTTCGTTTAAGGTGATGAGGGAGTGTTAGTTAATTTTTCCCACAATCATATGAGTAGGCCTTACGTTTTCAATAAATCTCATATAGTCTTGCTTCTCATAAGGTATTTTCATCCAGGGTGGAATGCAGTTTCGACCTCGTCTAAGTGAGATTTGAAACCGAGTCTAGCTGGGGGCGCTTATGAGACTTAGACGAGGGTAAAACTGCAGCCCATCATGAATGAGGATTTATTTTGGTAAGCAAGGCTATGTGAAATTAAATGTCAACGTAAGGCATATTCATATCATTGTGGGAAAATTTAAATACTAGCTCTTCATCAACTTAACTAAAATAGGGTGAACACAGCTTTTAACGTCAGTTTGGATCAACAAGTCAAAATGTTACTCTCGATCTCTGGCCCCTTCAATAGAAACTGTTCAAAAGCACTTGTAGCAAATAAAATGTTATAGTTACGAGTCTTAGACTTCAGAATGTTCGCCTATACTTTCCAAAACCTTTCAAGTTTCATATTTCGAGCCATTACATTTGCCCTACACTTGTTCTCGTACTCTGTGATCCACTTTTCAATAGAATTTTGATCTGCCTACATGATTATTATGTCCCTTTCTTTCGGTACAGTTACCTGATTCGATTGTTCTTTGGAACGAAGCTTTAGTTGTTTGGCTCAATTTTGTTTCGAATGAAGGTGTGTTGTGAAGAGATTCGAAGGGGGATCCCGACAGAAGACGACGGCGGATTCCTTTTTACCAGCTCTCGTTTGGTTTTACTGGGACATTCTGGTTGGTGTTGTCCCCGAAGCAATTTCCTGCGATTCCAGTGAAGACTTGCTGACTTTCCGTCTGTCATATGATTGACTTCATCAGAGCAGACTCTCATTCTTACATTCATACTCAAGTTAACGAGTTAAAAAAGCTCACTTACCATCCCTAAATTCTACATGTTATGATGCTGCGTCAGGAACACTGCCGACAAGAATGTTCCATTAAAACCAATCGAAAACTGGCCGAGGGAAATCTGTCACCGTATTCTTATTGAATCGACTTTTGAATCTATTTGACCCATTCACTCTGACTTGAAATCGAAGTAAGCTCAACAATTATAAACCAATTAATTCCTCAAAACCCTATTTTATTCGCATATTAAATTACTATTAATCGTATTCACAAACTTTTCAAGCTTTCCTCTGAAACTGACCCATTCCTCACATAAATAAAGGCAACAACAATAGCTTCTTCATTATTCGGCCTTTCGTTTCTGCTCAATTGCGACCTAATAATTCTTAACTGCCAATTTATCACGATGCTATTCCTCAAAGAATTTTCATCCATTTTACGTTAGCTGGGCTTAATTTAGTAAGATCATCCCGGCTGTCCGCAAGAGCTTTTCTGTTTTTCATCCTAAAGTTCAGCAGTCCTGCGTAGGCGAACAATCATCCGGGTGTGCTTTGATGTTGGCTTTATAGAGCATTTCAGCAAACGATTGCTTGCTAGTGATCCTGTGGCAGCTTCTATGACCCTTCTTTAGTTTGCATCCTTATTCGCTTGTTCTATCGGGGAGAGACTCAGACTTATCGTAATTCCCTATTGCCCTTCGTAAGATTGTCTGGTTGATTTTAATTGAATACCAAAGTGCATGGCTATCTTTTCGTTATTGCAATGCACGAATGGGGCATTCGATGGAGGCCATTTTCGTTTGGGATCGGGTCCATTGAGCTTCGAACAATAATTTGCACATAATTAATTCGTAAATTTTCCTAATCTATAGCCGAAGGATGATTGTCTGTTTCAGTTATGATTACTTATTTGTGTGGAGAAGCACACAACTCTGAAATCACGATTAAATGCCTTTGAAAGTAGGCTGTCTCGTTTTTTCGTAAATAATTAGGTTTTCGAGACTACCAATAAATCAGATATATGAGTTGTGTTAGCCCTATTTCGTTTAAGGTGATGAATGTCTGACATTTGATTTTTTCCACATTAATATGAGTAGAGTTAATGCTTTCCATTGAATTTCAAATAGCCTTGCTTTCCCAAAAGGTGTTCTCATCCAGGGTGGACTGCAGTTTCGACCTCGCATAGGCCCTATCAACACCCCCAGCGGGAGTCGAACCATGATTTTAATTGAACACCAAAGTGCATGGCCATTTTTTCGTTATTGCAATGCACGAATAGGGCAATCGATGGAGGCCATTTTTGTTTTGGATCGTGTCACTAGCGCCTCGAACAATAATTTGGACATAAGGGATTCGTAAATTTTCCTCATTTATAGCCGGAGGAAGATTGTCTTTTTCAGTTGTGATCACTTGTTTGTGTGAAGAAGCCTCTTGCCCACTATCCTGTAATCCCGGTTATATGCTCTTGCAAATATGTTGCCTCGTTTTGTTAATGCTTCCGCTCTCAGCATTTAGCTTCAGGCAGACCTCTTTAGGTCTTGCTTGAACAAATCTGGCAATTTCTACCGCCTTTATCAGCCACTTTAGCCTTGTTCTTTCATTATGCAGCACGTCTGGCCGTCTTATGGTCCTTCTCCGCCATCTCATAGCTGTACATCTGCCAGACCAATTACCATAGTCATCCTCATTTTTGGTCCGTTACTTTGAGCGTATTCTTCATTTTGCTACTTTGTGGAGTCAAATGCTTTATCCGTATCTTGCCTGCCAAGACAAAAGAAGCTTTCCCTGAGAATGATTTAATCAATCGCATTCTTTGCATGATCTACCAACCAGACATAGGAGTGTCACTAAAGTGGATACCACAACCCAGTAGCTCACGTAGCATGGTTACTTACTTCTTCTGCTTGCATCTTCGGTAGTGCTCTCCACACTTGCAGCTAAACCGATTATACTGCATCAATAATCTAATAGGATGGGGAAGCCGGAAAATGGCTCTTTCCAGTCGAAGTGAATGCAATCTGCCTCGCGTTTGACTACTTGCTTCTGCTTCAACCGCTAGTGTCTTTATAAGTGCAGGTCTTGTGTTAATGTATGCTTTTTAGGCAATGCAAATATTCAGAATATTCTGTCGCGCACAATTTAACAAGAAAGGCAGGGCTAAGGGAAATTAGATGGTATCGTGAGAACTATTCATTTCATCACTGTTTGCGACCTTGGGTCAACACAACCCTTATTCAAGGTCTACTTGTAGTTTCGACACCTACTCATTTTGAGTAGAGATCTTAGTGTCGGCTCAATCTTTAATCCAACATTGACTATGAATGACCACCTTAAGTCAGCCCCCAAAATGAATCAAATCTTTTATTTTCACTTTCTTTCTTTTATTCGTTATATTTATGTGTTACTCTCTTATAATCTATACTGTCCCTACTATTTTCATTGGTATTGTTGTCAGAATCATTAGTCTCTGAACTAACACTCCCATTCACCTTGCTTTATTTCACATCCCCTTTGCGTTGTCCAGCCTCCAAGAGCTTGACCTCAGCCTGGGCGGAATGGCCCTCAACAAGATGACTTCCTCGAGCATCGAAGACCGTTGGCTGGCCCAGTTAGAGAGTGCCGTCGGTGGTCTTCTTCAACCTCCACCACCGACAGCTGGCAACTTAGACAGCAGCCATTTACAGATGGCTGCAGTTGCCGTATCGATAGACTCATCAAATGGTCTCAGCGGTGGTCAGATGCAATTGTCTGGTAGTTCGTCGAACCTTTCGTGCAATGGTTCTTTAGCCCTGGATACTACTTCGTATGCTAAGAGGTGGAGTGAGAATACAATCTTCTTTTACATTTTTTTTCAATCCCAAATCTAGTTCTTCGGCCACTTTCAGTTTAAATTTAGCTAAACGAAAACGCCTACCCTTCCTCATAACAGTTTGGTCTCTAATTCTCAATTTACTTTAAAATCGCCCTCTACTTTTAGCATACTATGAACATTTTAGACAGAATTCATGCCCATGTCAGTCCTCAGCATCCCTATTTTTTAATGTGAAAAGTAAACAAGTTATAAGACGTCATAGGGCGGGAGTTTGATCAGAGGGTAAAGAGTAGATAGATAGGCCAGGACAGAAAGAGGACTGGTAGTGTAGCCATTTTTGGCAGAACGTTGGTCGAGGAATTGACTTCACTTGGACGAGTTCGTAGCTTGGCGCGGAGAATGGCAAGATTCACTGATGGTGCCGGCAAAACGCTTGATAATGTATCAAATCCATCATCTGATGCTGGGAATTATAATAAATACTATGGCAGAGAACTTCGGACCAGGTGCGTTCTACTAAGTCTCCCGGACAACAAGACCAAGTTGCGACAACGAGGTCAACGCAATGCCCTATTTTTGTTTAAAACTTAATAGCCAATTCTTTTTAGGGCTCATCAATGAAGCATGTTATTCGCTTTATTTGGTATATAATTTTTCTAGCTATATTGAGGATAGAGCTCTTTGACTGGTTAAGCTGGGCTTTGTTTCGTATAAACGTTTGCAACGAAGAGATTCATGTTTTAGTCTCTCCACAAGACAGACGATGGTGAATTTTGTTTGTTTTGTCGTACTTCGAAATTCCTGGGATTTTAATGTTGACGCAGTCTCCGAGACGCCTTTATTCGGTTCCGGCGTCATATCTCTTGAAGGGTATTATTTGTGCTGGAACGTATTTTTACTACGGCATTAATAACATAACGAATCAAGGAACATGTTGTGAACTTGACGTCATGAGTTCGAAGTTTAATGATGCTTGTCAGGGGAGGAAAAAGGCGAAGGCCTGGCTCTTCATCTGAGCCTAAGTAGAGTGTCCCGATATTTGCATCAGCGAGAGCATTTAATGAAAATCAAGTTACTTCAGATTAAGAGAAATTCGCCATTGTCTTCTGGGCAGCCCGACTTTCGGATCTCGTTATCACAAACTTTCACAGGAAACAAAATTCACCTAGATTTGGCAATTAATCGGAAATAAGTCACTCTTAACTTGGTGTTATGTGTCTCGGAGACCTGTCTTCGTTTCAGATTTCCGTTATATCCTATTCCGATTGAGTAGGCTCGGGAACTACTAATTCTATTCTTGTTGGGAGTGCTGATCGAAACTGCGGTCCATAGTGGATACAAATAACTATAGGGGAGCAAGGATAAGTGAAATTCGATAGCTTCGGGTGGCCTACTCATATAATTGTAGGATAATTTAATTATATAAGGAAAGATTTGGTTTCGAAGAATCCCTTAGGGATATATTGTGACATAATTTTCCATTTTGAAGGGAAAATTGATTGGCATGAGTTCATGATGTGATCTCGCCGAAAGAATGTATAGTAAGCTTGCGGTAGCCAACCAAATCCTGGGATGCCTTATTAAGATCGCAAGGTTGGGTGCAAAAAAAATGACTAGGGTTTTAGCCGGCCACCTTTTCTCTTGGATTCGTATCGTTTTTCTCTAGTTCGTAAAGTGTGGATTCTTGCTCTAATCATGCCTGTCACAGTACAGATAAAAACTTAGCACAGGTTCATCGGGGTCGCATGACTGTGAGCGGAGGACTTCTTTACACACTACATCAGTTTTCCCTACGCGGCATTCCTTCGGTTTCCGGTGAGGCTACATCACAACGTCCTTTCAACCAACTTTTCCTTCGAAATTGAAAGTCATGTCACAAAATTTTACTATAACTCCCTTATCACCTTATGCAGATTTTATTCTCTTCTTTTAGCTATCACAAAAACCATTTCGGGGCGTGTAACTTAGCTTCAGAGCCTATCTTGGCACTACTTTCTCATACATTTGCTATAAGATTTATTTTAATTTGCTCAAATCTAGGTATTTAAGCTGTGATTTATCTGAACCTTGCTGACTTCAATAGGGAAAAATCAAAAGATGGAGTAAAAGATGTATTTCAGTGCCACTTATCGGCCATATCAATGTTTACGTTTGTTATATACTTTAATTTCTACACTTTGATTCCTTAGTTTCCATACTCAACCATCATCCGTTTTTATTATTCCAGCTCACCAATCCTTGAACGGCAGCGCAGCTATCATGCCAAGTGGGCCTCTCGAACAGGAGGAGGTTACTATCGCCTCTCACGCATTCGATTGGCCGGAATCCTGATGGTCGTCTATGTGTCGGCTCGAGCCTCTCGCCTCGGCCATGTCTCCGAAATCTCGGTGCAAGCCGTACCCACCGGAATGTTCAATGTTATGGTGAGCTTGGACCATGAATCTCTATCCTAAACTGCGTACATAAATATTCCTTTCGCGTCTCTGTGTATCTTATTAGGAAAGCCTTTCTGCTGGTCGGAGTCGGAGTACTTTTCATTTTGTTTAAACAGGCGATTGGAAGTGATTTGTAAATTGGCCTCACCAGACACCAAAGGGGGAGTGCTTTGGACTTGTGACTGTTGGACTCACCTTCATACAACCCCGAAAACTCTGTATTAAGTGTCGTTTTTCACTTTGGCAGCCATCGTCGGATCCACCTTATTTCGGAGAAGAGTTGGATGTCATGAAATCTCTTGGCTCATAATTGCCTGTTATCTTTATTTCGAGTAAAAGTATGTGATGAAAAGATTCGAAGGTCGATCACACGCGATGAGTTTTCTTGACTATTCGACTGTAAAATGGTTAAAATAATTATACCTTTCTCTGATGATGTCCGTCATATGACGGACGAAAGATTAGCACGTCATTGGGATCGAAGGGGCTTGTCTCGAAGGTAATGTTAGCAGGAATGCCCCAGTAAAGCTTGTGAGGCGGGATCCGTCGTCGTCTTCTGGACTAATCGAGCATCGAATCTCTTCGTCTCGCATTCGTTTGAAATGAAAGTGAGCCCAACCATTTCCTTTCCTCTCAGAGTGAAGTGAACAAATGGGAAGTCATTGTCTTTCGGTTCCGATGTAAGCATGTTATGCCTTCGTTTGCCATATTTACAGTATTTTTAAGCAATAAGCTCGTCAGCTTAAGTAGATGGAACTCCGGTATTACACAATAATAGTGTTTATTAGGTATGAAAAAGAACTGCATTTTGGAGAATCCCCTAATGTGACTCGACTTTTCATTTAGGAAAAAAAGTTGGTGGAAAGGTTTCGTGAAGTGGCCCCATCAGACACCGAATGATAATCGCCATGGATTGAACTAAGTTAGCTTGTGCGAAGGCTCAACCACCTGCAGCCCGGATGAATCGGTGCCAAGGTTTTATATGTCGTGTGATAGACGTCCTCAGAACCAGAATTCATCTTTTACGAAAAATGTCTTAAAAACTTGGAACCAAGTAAGCTGGCTGGCCGAAATCTCACTTACTTCTTACGCCTAATTTTGCTATCATAATGAGGCGTTTTATGGATTCTTTGACTACTTTATGCCTATATTCGTATTAGAGTAGGGTTTCGAGACTTTATGCCTATCCTACATGCTTTCAGGTTTGCGGATGTATATGTGCTCATATTACTCAAACCTTTAACTCGGTGGCTTTTCTTGCTCTCTCTCCTTTTTCCTAATTCTATCCAATAGCCATTGATAGTTATTGCTTAACTTCCTACAATTTTTTCTTCTATCCAGGTTTTATTATATAAATTTAAATGACTCCCTAATCTTCCAATTAACCGTAAGGTCCTCAAATCCTGAAAATCGTAAGTTTTAAACCATTCACCCTATTGGGACTGTTGACTAGGTAAATTTCAAGACACTTTTACGGCGTTATTGTTGCAATCAGTCATTGGTATGATGGTATAAAGCCACATGACAACCATATTGATAAGAACTGGGTTTTAAAAACCTTCATAATTTGATGTGACTCTAATTTTTATTTTGATGGACAACTGGCTGGAACGTATTTTTACTACGGCATCAAGCTCACAACGAATCAAGAAACTTGTCGTTGTAAAAGCATGATAAAAGCCCCAGCTTTTGCAAGCTACCCGGAATTAATATTTAAAATTCAGGCTTAGCCTGAGTCGCTAAAGGTGATTTAATAACTACTAGTTGAGTATCTCTCACACTGCTGTGAGCAGGTCTCACAATTCAATTCGATTTCACTTAATCTCGCCTCCCAAAAGCTCATCCAGACTGGACTGCAGTTTCGACTTCCCTTAGGTCTCATCAACATGCCTAGAGGGATTCGATACTAGGTCGTGAGTATCGTGGTAACGTCTACCACTCCACTACATGGCCACTCAGCCATTGGCACGTAAAGCGAGTGCGCATACAAGGAAAGCCAAATCCTTGTGCTAACTCAGATTTTGTAATGTGATTGTCGGTTAGGTAAATGTGTGTTTGCCATTGCAATCGTCGACGTTACATTATCAGTCATAAATCCAAGGTAATCCTCCTTCGGTTTCCGATAAGGCCAATCTACGAATACCTTTCATCATCCTTTTGAAACGAGATGAAAGGTATAACGACATGGATTTATTCTTCTAAAGCAATTTCATTTTCTTTTCGCCATATTGATATCATTATTTTGTATATAAGATCACTCAATAACGATCAGGACTTAATTTAATTAGCAATTGGTTGCCAATTTCTCCCACTAACTAACGATAAGCGTTCATTTAATTTCACTTCCTAAGCAGAGTATAAGGAGGTAATTACGCAGGATAATTGACTGCAGACGGAATTAAATAATGACTTATTTTTATATGATGACCAAAATCGTGTGACTTATTTTTTGTTTATAAGCAGGTTTGCGAGAGCACCAGTAGATCTTATATAAGGGCTATATTCATCCTATTTAATTTACCATGACAAAGGACTGATATTTGAATTTTCCACAATGATATGACTAGGCCTCATGTTTCCATTGAGTTTCACATATCCTTGCTCCTCAAAAGGTATTCTCATCCATTTTGGAAGGGACTGAAATTTCGACCTTGCATAGGTCTCATCACCAATCCCAACGGGACTCAAATTTGAAAAATAAGTAGTGTCGTCGATTGTAATAGCAAATACAGCTTATATTCGTCAACAATTTCGCCACAAAAATATGATATGAGAAGGGTCTAGGCTTCCTCGAAAATCACTTTTGACCTGTAGCCCAAGGGCATTTGGGGCAGTGTGACGCGGTGGTTGACGTTTCAAGACTATACACTTCACTACTGTGATTCAAGCCCCGTTGGGGATGCTGATAAGATCTAGACGAGGTCGAAACTACAATCTAGTCCGGCATAGATGAGAAATCCTTTTTGGAAGCAAGACTATGTGAAATTCCATTTCTTCATCACCTTAAACGAAATAGAGTGAATACAGCCATTAAAATAGGCTTTCTGACGCATCATTATTTTAGGTTCACTATCATTTAAATTGAGGCTAGGTTTCATTCGTTTTATAAGTGGTCTTTTGCCTCGATTTTGTCAATCATAGAAGAGAGGTAATTTGTCGCTAAGTGGGCAGGTTTGGAGGGCCGTATCTCCATAGTCTCAAAACAGTCGATTCATCTGTACTTGCAGCTATACAAACGCTGTCCTTGAGTATCTTACACTGAATCTAACCTACAATTTCCCCCACTATAAGCATTACATGCCTTAAGATTGTACAAAATAAAGCAGGCGTCACAAGTGTTATTTGTGAATATATGGTTTGGATGCTTGTGACTCTTATTTTTGTTAACATATTTTTTTAAATTCTTTTGTCTAATTCGACCTCATGTGAGCACCCGCGCTCTTGGCTACTCTTGGGTGTCGATGGTTTTCATCAACAAATATACCTGAACACTGCAGAAAAAATAATAACCAAATGGTCATCTTTAGTAAGACACCTGTAATTACTTGTAATGACCTATAAATGCTTCGTTACTTATTGCTTATTATTAGGTATAGTTCCCAGTTATATTTCT